GAAGGGAAGGGAAGGGAAGGGAAGGGAAGGGAAGGGAAGGGAAGGGAAGGGAAGGGAAGGGAAGGATACACTTTATCTTTTCAAAATACTAAACATTTAGAAATGAAATAATTTAATGTCTGGGATTTGTATCAAAATAATGGGATGGGCCTTTTGGCTAGAACAACCATCTTCCAATAATTCACCAAAATGTCCAACACAAAGGGGAAGAGGAGAGGCACTATATGTTCTCTAGGCCTTGTATAGAACATGGAGTTGTTTCTTTGGCCACATACATGTGAATCTGTAAGAAAAGTGATATTGTAGACATCAAGGGAATGGGCACTGTTCCAAAAAGAATGTCCCACAAATGTTCCCATGGGAAAACTGGACAAGTCTACAATGTTACCCAGCATGTGGTCGACATTGTTGTAAACAAGTTAAGGGCAAGATTCTTGCCAAGAGAGTTAATGTACATACAGAGTATATTAAGCCCTGTAACAGCTGAGATAGTTTCTGAAACATGTGAAGGGAAATGATCAGAAAAAGATGAAAGCCAAGGAGAAAGATACTTCAGTTTAACTGAAGGACCAGCCTTGCCCACTCAGAGAAGCTCACTATGAGAACCAAAGGAAAGGAGCCTGAGCTGCTGGAACCCATTCCCTATGAAGTCATGGCATGATAAGTGTAAAAAAGTAAAACTCCTCTGTACTGTTAAAAATGTTTCTCTTAATTGAGTAGAAGTGTGGTGTCTCCTCCCCAAAAGGAATATTTAAAAACTTTGTGTCCTAAGAAAACAATGGGATGGGAGTTCAGTGGGTAGGGAAATAAACAAACAAGATTGTCCACTGAATTGATAATTGTTGAAGGTGGATGATGGGCACATGGAAATGAGTTTTATACCATTTTCTCTATATCTGTATATTTGAAATTTTCCATTTTAAAAAATCGGGGCAAATGATCTCAGCCCTCCATTCTCATTCTCTCCCTTTAAGCCCTCCATTCCAGCTGAACATGCACCATGTTAGTTCAGGCCTCTGACAATACTCTTCCAACTGGCAATCTTCTCTGCCTGGAAAATCCCTACTCTTTCATTGCCACTCAGGGCAATTGTCACGTCCAGCTTCTACAGTCAGAAAAAATTGTTCCTCCTCTATGCTTGGGGCTCCTTCTCTGTGAAGCATTTATTCCTATCACTGCAAATGCTGTGCTCCGGTGTCATTATTCATCTCCCCAGTAGACAGTAAACATTGCCACAGATGAGACAATATCTCAGCAATCTTTTGTCTGTACTGACCCTTAGCCCTGTGCTTGGCTTAGAATTGGCACTTAATAAATATTTGTTAAATTAAAAGGTCAGGTCTAGCAAGGAAATGACCAGTTGTTTGGTTTGGTACATGTTGATTTTGAGAAGTCTAAGGAACACAGGAGGAAAGAAAGTGAATGAGAAACTAGTGTTATTATGCTTGTGTTAGAAATATGCAGGGGCAAGGAACCGAGCCGTAAACAAGAAGGCAAGGCTCCCACTCTTAAGGACTTCACTTTCCTTCAGTTGGGGGAGGGCAATGAGAAAGATATAATTATAGAACATGGTAAGTGCCATGGAGGAAATAAACATGGCAAAGCTTATGCCACTCCAGAGAAGCAAATATCATAATCCCACTTACGGATGAGTGGATGAGCAGGTGTTCAGATGAAGTCACTGCAAAGTCCACAGCTGTGAGTCCTGAACAGGACTCGAGCCCTTGTCTGCCCCTCCAGAGCCCATGCACTTTCCTCTGCCCTGTACTTCCTTCTCAACAAGCAGGTGAAAATTCAGAGTTCAGACTGAACATTCAGATCTGGATGTCCTCTGTCTCTAGAGGGGAGTTGAAATGAGGAGAGGAGGGAAGTAATGGCAGCTGACATTTATTGATTACTTAATATATTCAGGACCTCACAGTAAGCATTTTATACTCAAGAATGTATTTATTTCCCCAGCCGGCATGGCCCAATGGTTGAGCGACAACCTATGAACCAGGAGGTGACGGTTCAATTCCCGGTCAGGGCACATGCCCGGGTTGCAGGCTAGATCCCTAGTAGGGGGTGTGCAGGAGGCAGCCGATCAATGACTTTCTGTCATCATTGATGTTTCTATCTCTTTCTCCCTCTCCCTTCTCTCTGAAATCAAGTAAAAAAATAATATATAAAAAAAGAATGTATTTATTCCATATAGCAACACTCATGAAGCAGGGACTCTTAACAGCCCCCACTTTACAGTCCAGGAAATGGAAGCTTAGGAAGAGTGAAGTTGACAGAGGGCACACACCAGCAAACACAGAGTCTAGTCTCTTACCCCCCAGTACCTTTGTGAGAGAGAAGACGGAAATCAGAAGCTAGGTTAGGAAATAGTGGAACGAGTGAAAGAGAACCAGACGGTTCCTTCAAGGATGCTGGATGAGACATGGAGGTGGGGAGGAGAGGTGTTCCGACAGCCCAAGAAAAACTTAGAAAAGGACCTGGTGCTTGGTGTTTCAGAGCCCATGGAAAAATCCAGCAAGGAGACCTGAAGGTTGTGGGATTCAGCCAACAGGAGGTGGTAAAGAACCTTTGACAGAGCTATTTTGGGAAATGCAAACCTAACTCCCTACAGGCTCACTACCCACGCTGCTTCTTGCTGCCCCTCACTGAAGTCCCCCATCCCCCGAAAGACTCGGTTCTGGTTCCTCCTACTCCACTTGTCTGCTTGGGGAAGAAGCCCTGGACTGTGCTCCCCACTCCCAACCCACTTCCACTCTGATCTCAGTCTCCCCATCTCTCCTGGCCCCCAACCCAACACCTACAGAGCCAACTCTAAGCAGTGAGAGCACCGCCTGCAGGCTGCCCCAGCCTCCATCAAGGCCATTCATTTACAGTGCATGCCCAGGCATCCTGACAAAGGACAGCTGCACCCCACACCAGGGACACGTGCTGGACCGGGAAGCAGGTGGGTGCCAGTGGCTCAGCAAAGAGGTTCCAGTGAGAGTGAATTAGCCAGGCACTTACCATGGCTCTTTGTCAACCTCCTTTTCTGGCTTAATCAGCTCTGATTAACTGAAAAGAGTAGTTCTGCCCAGCCAGTGTGGCTCAGCGGATTGACCGTAGTCCCATGCACCAAGAGGTCACAGGTTCAATTCCCAGTAGGGGTGTGCAGAGATGGATGTTTCTATCTCTCTCTTCCTCCCCCTTCCTCTCTATCTAAAAATCAATAAAGCCCAGCCGGGCGTGGCTCAGCTTGAGCATCGACCTGGGATCCAGGAGATCGGGGTTAGATTCCCAGTCAGGGCACATGCCCGGATTGCAGGCTAGGCAGCCGATCAATGACTCTCTCATCATTGATGTTTCTATCTCTCTCTCTCCCTCTCCTTTACTCTTTCTGAAATCAATAAAGATATGTTTAATAAATAAATAAATAAATAAATAAATAAATAAATAAATAAAATCAATAAAAACGTATGGAAGGAAGGAAGGAAGGAAGGAAGGAAGGAAGGAAGGAAGGAAGGAAGGAAGGAAGGAAGGAAGGAGCAGCTCTGAGGACCACATGATTTTGCTTCCCCACCCCACTCCAACCATAACTGATTGGAACAGGATGGCCACCTTCTCCAGGAGAATCCTGAACTTTGGAATCAGGCCACCTAATGAGTGACTGAAGGTCCAGTGGTCCCAAGGACACCAATGATCTAGCTACCATGTGGAGAGAGCCGAGCTGAGTCAGAGAGACTCATGGCAGACCACTAGGGTTAATGAAGGCCGGGAACTCTTGCTGAAAGCTAGACAGAGGTTGCCCTCATCCCTGCCCTTCTGTGGTCTGATGGTTCAACTCTTCCTGTGTTTGTACAAGTTATCTCTTTAATAAAATTTGGGTTAGTCCCAGTGGATTTCTGTTGCTGGCACCCCAAATCTCCTTGGCCAAGATAGGGTTTTGCAGGAATGAGAGCACAGGACAGGAGTCTGAAGGTGGGAGTTCTAAGTTTAGAGTTTTGGACATAACAGTTAAGTGTGTTGATGTCTAAATCAGAGTGGAGGTGACCTCCTTCAAGTCCACTCCATTCTGTTCAACAAACATCTAATGAACGCCTGCCCTGTGCCTGATGTGGTGCTAGGTGCTAGGGTGGCCAAGACAAATAAGCAGCAGCTGCTCTTGTGATGTGCAGTTTTGGAGTGGGTACAGACAAGGAAACATATTACAATATGGCATAATACAAGCAGTAATGGAAGCACATACAAAGTTGATAGAAAGGGGGGG